ACAATCAATGCAGTGTGCTCTGGGGCACTCTCATGATGCAAGATCCACTTGTTTCCGGTGAAAAGTTCTGGTCGTTTACGTCTAACCTTTTCTCTTGAGTCTTTTAAACACATTGAGATAGTAAAACTAGTACACACCCTGCCCTGGGGGAATAAATTCCTTGTGAACTACACCCTTACAATCGAAAAGTGATGAACATTGTCTTCACTTTTGACTTTGACATGAGGCACTTTTTGGGGCGCAGCGAGTTTGCAGTTTTCCACTGAGTGCTCTGGCACTTTGTTTCAGGGTCATATTGGTAAATCCATGACTCATCACCAGTAATGACTTGGTGAAGCAGGTCATATCCAGCTTCTTCTCATTTCAAAAGGTCTGAGCCAATTCCAACTCTTCTTTGTTTTTGTTCATCGCTGAAATTTTTTGGCATCATTTTTGCACAAACTTTTCTCATCTTCAAATCTTCAGTCAAAACCTTTGACTGTTTCCCTGTCAATCTGCACCTCATCTGCAATGCCTCTCACTGTTAATCACCTGTTAGCTCACACAACTTTCCTAATTTTTTCAATGTCTTCCTCAGTCCTGCTTGTTGTTGGTCGTCCTTCTCTGTCATCACCTGTCTCATCTTCTCTTCCCTCAGAAAATTGCTTAAATCACTTGTAAACCCATGTTTTCGTTAGTGCATTATCCCCATAAACTTGGGTTAACATTGTAAGAAAGGTTTATTCATATATATATATATATATACTATATATATACAGTCAACCCTCGCTTTACGCGGTCCCACTTTACGCGTTTCCACGTTTACGCAGTACCCTGCTGAACACGGACTGCTCACTTTCCGCGGTGCGTGTACCCTTTTACGCGGAGAGCGGTGCGAGCAGGGTGCGCACAAGGTCGCCCAGTCATCAAAACATTACCGAGTTCTTCACCCGCCACCCACCACAGCCGGCCCAAGTCAGTGATAGTGATAATGATAGTTAGGATATGGACTTATATGGCCTTTGAAGGGTTTGACAAAGAGGCCCTGCAAGCCTCTGTGGTGGATAGTGATACAGTTGATACAAGTGATACAGGTGAGGGCCAATAATCTGCCCTCTGCCTCGGAACCAACCCCCTATCCCCGTGTGCCCAGCCATCTTTTCTACTAATGTAAGTGTTAAAAAACCTAATATTATTGAAATTTCTCTTAATTATTAATTGTGTGTGCATGCCATCATAAAATTAAGAAGTTATTTTTACTACAACGTAGGTATTGTGTCTGAAAAGGTGGAGTTTGGGGGTTGGCCTGGTCTCTATTTCAATTAATCCCATATGTTATGTTGTTCACTTTACGCTGGCCACCGTGGGTTCAATTGACCGCGTAAAGTGAGGGTTCACTGTATACAAAAAAGATGATATAACATAGTTAATGGTTTTAAGGGTGTAATTGCAAACTAAACAGCGTGGTCGTTACACATTGTTGGGTGAATCATTATTGGAGGAAGACAGCACCAACAAAAGATCAAGAGTACTAACCTGTGCCACATTCCTGATATCCACATCAGCAGTAATTTGCTCAGATTACGCAATGATTTTCACTGTTTACCAAAACAGCGGAAATTCAAAACATTTAACCCTCAAGCCCCAGGTTAGAGTGCTGCTGGCAGTACCCCCGCCGGGTTAAATCGAGAAAAAAAAAGGAAAATGGGCGGACGTTCTGGAACGTCACCCGGGGCCTAAGGGTTAACCAATTTATTACGATATAATGGCTGCTCATAAAGAATCAGGAGAGTTACTTGCTAATATTTTGTGTAGGTTTGTTAACTTACATCAAGTTGACGTTATAAAGTTGTTGCATTCATGTGTTTTAATGCACAGTGCTATGATTTACAAGTGCATGTATTATACTCACATTTGGATATACTCTTGTAAACATGACATAATGTTTCGGTCTGTCTGGGACCTTCGTCTGGTGTGAGGACAAGTGAGGGATGGTGAGGTAGTGGCGAAGTGAAGGGGATGGAGATGGGGTAAGGTGTGTGTGTGTGTGAGGGGGGGGGGGGTCATGGAAGATGATGTATGAGAAGGTTAAAGCTACATAGAAGAGGTGTTACCTGGAAAGAAAGTGCAGGTGATTAGAAAGAAAGAGAGAGGGTGATAGGTAAGGACACTCACCTGAGGAAGGTCTCAAATGGATTGTAGCATGTGAAGTTTACAGTAAGGACTTCTTTCCTATGTGATTATATGTGATATTGCTTTAATATACTGTACTGTTGGCAGATTAGTTAGAATCTACTTTCTTCTGAATTTCTAAACACCTCTAAATATTTCCATTATCTTGTCATTTAATGTATGATTTTCCATCAATTGAGAAGTGGCAGCGATGCGTGCAAAGCAAACAACATCATTGCTACCCGAGGGTGAATCATCGGGATGTGGGAGTGAAGACCCGTCATGAGAAATTGTCTATATAACAGGTGTGTTTATCAGGAAGTTTTTAAAACCAAACCTCGTAGTAGGAGACCACAAGTTACCACTCATGCAGATGTCACTCATATACTGGACACCATACAGGACCAACCAAAGTTGTCTGCAGCTCACATCACTTAGGAACTGCAGCTTCCTTGCCACTTGCAACCACAAGACAGCGCATCCATGAAAGCAACATTCACTGTGATGTGACAGTAAAGGAAGTACATTTATCCCAGGCACTAAAGGAATCTAGACTTGGTTTTGCTCTTCAGTATCTTGCAGCAGACACAAGTTACTGGAAGTCCATTATATATGCTGATGAGAAGTGTTTCTCAGCAGTTGAAGCAGGGGCTAGAATGTACTGGAGACCAGTCAACACTCGCTATGTTGTTCAAGAGAAAGCCAGAAGTGGAAGAGTTACAGCAAATTTTGGGGGCTGGATGTGGGTATTTGGACCTGGGAAGGGTGTTATAACTATAAAGGGTAGGGTGTTATAACTGCCGTGCAGATATTATCAGGGATCAGCACTGAACAGTTATTATTCCTTAAAATTACAGAATATAGGTAAGGTAAACAAATACTAAGGCTTGGTTGAATGAGCTTTTGCATTTCTTCCTGTCTGCCAATCAGCTATCGTGTTATAAATGGCTCTCTGCCTCATTTACAAAGTTTGAGTGAACAGATTTTTTATAGTGATCATTACACTATTAACTATACCACTGTTGTTGTTGGAACCTCCTACAGGAGTATTTATTCATATAATTCTTTTCCGTGCATTTAAGATTTTTGTTGTTCCAGGTACATTCATTATCATTATATTGTAAACCATCTCCATCGTAATGTTATTAGTAGATTTAATTTTTTCAATCTCCACCCCAAACAACCCCCCCCCCCACCCCTTTTGCCCTTCTTGCCTCCCTTGCCTCCCTGATAAACATTCCAGTGCAACATCTGTTGGGTCAAAAAGATACTTCCTTCTGCTGCTTCATTGTTCGAACCTCAGAAGTTTCGAAGTCACATTGTGGCTGGAAGCGGGAGAGAACTTTTATCTGCTACTGTACATGTACAGTAACTCAAAACATAACATACATGTCAGCAGCTGTGGCCTACAAGAAATGGTAATGCATGTTACCATTATTACAAGTAATGAACAATAAAAGTTGTGGAAAAATCATTTAAATACTGTACAGTACTCTTATGTGACTTAGAAATAAAGAAATTACAATACATAAAACTATAACAAAACAGGTTGAAGGGCATGGATACGTATTCTGTGTGGGAGTTGATAGTCAATGTGGAAGCAGTGAGAAATTTGTCAGTAGCACATCTGGGGATGGCTGGTTAGGCCCATTCCGGTTGAAATGCCACCACACAATTACCTGTACTGTATGATTATCCGAACAGTCACCATTCATCCTGAATCTTCTTGCTATAATGATGATGAGTACAGATCCCATATAATGAATGATGAGATGATGTTAGGCATAAGATAATATAATAAATATGAAATAATATACTAATTAAATAAACATAAACATGAAATAGCAAATACTCTGTACTGTACTAAGGTGTAGACTCCTCTTGATCCTTGGCCACTCTCCTCCTGCTTCATTACCCCCTGCCAACTCTCCTCTTGCCATATGAAAGGTGAATGATATTTATGATGATGCTGATGAAGATGATGACTATGAAGATGATGATGATGAAGATGATGGTGGTGGTAATGATGCTTGGTGATGATTTTCACTGCCCCTCACCCTCATCTGCCTAACAGTGTTTCTAAGCAGCTCTTCTTCGATTTCTTCGGTTGTATGTCCCCAAATCCCTCCCCACTTGCATCATGCATATGATCGAGGGCGCCACTGAGGGGAAGCCAGTGAAATCATTCACTGCTTCAGGCGAGAGGGCCTTCCAACAGGAGCTCACATACTTTCTAGTGATTTCACCATGGCTCAGTTTAACATATGCTATACTGAATTGAATTGAATCAGTTTATTTAGCCAGAAAACACAGATACGGAGTGGATAATAATAACAATATTAACATGGCTGAGCCATTTGAGAGTCAGCAATGGTGTAATTTTTCCACATCTCCTTCACCCCTGCCTGGCTATCTTCTTCCAGTGCCTCGTGGATCTTGGGAAAAACTGTGACTGAGGTAATATGATATTAAAACAGCAGTTATTCCTTGGTCAAGAAGCAGAATAAGAGAAGTTGTTTTCTTTGGAACTCAATTTTTTTTTTTGTTTTTTTTTGGGGGGGGACAATAATCCATGAGTTTCCGAGCTTTAAGGGAATAATGTAGTATATTTGAAACAGAAGAATATAACAAAATGAGTTTATAGAATACTGAAACATAGAAGGGACATTTAGACAAGTGCAAAATGATAGTGCAGTAATTCTATATCCATATAGCTATGCAAAAACTAGAAGCATTTCATCCCCTTCGGCATACATAAGAACAATAGAGAAGTAAACCACAACTCCATATTACACTTTGTATTACTCTTATTATTGTATAGATTAAATAAAATATTTTATATTTTCCAGATTGGATGTTGATTTTATAAGTTTAAGAAGGCCGCTCACCACCATTATGAGATCCCCCTACAATTTCAATGAATCCTGGGTGATTTATGCTGTTGAGTAAGTATATTTGACCTGTGTGTCTCATTTCAGGCTTGAATGACTGTTATAAACTAACAATAAAGAGTAGTGTATTATAACAATAAAGGGTAGAGTGCTCTAACAATAAAGGGTAGTGTGTTATAACAATAAAGGGTAGAGTGCTCTAACAATAAAGGGTAGTGTTATAACAATAAATGGTAGTGTTATAACAATAAAGGGTACTGTTATAACAATAAAGGGTAGTGTTATAACAATAAAGGGTACTGTTATAACAATAAAGGGTACTGTTATAACAATAAAGGGTAGTGTTAAAACAATAAAGGGTAGTGTGTTATAACAATAAAGGGTAGTGTTATAACAATAAAGGGTAGTGTGTTATAACAATAAATGGTAGTGTTATAACAATAAAGGGTAGTGTTATAACAATAAAGGGTAGTGTTATAACAATAAAGGGTACTGTTATAACAATAAAGGGTAGTGTTATAACAATAAAGGGTACTGTTATAACAATAAAGGGTAGTGTTAAAACAATAAAGGGTAGTGTGTTATAACAATAAAGGGTAGTGTTATAACAATAACGGGTAGTGTGTTATAACAATAAATGGTAGTGTTATAACAATAAAGGGTACTGTTATAACAATAAAGGGTAGTGTTAAAAGAATAAAGGGTAGTGTGTTATAACAATACAGGGTAGTGTTAGAACAATAAAGGGTAGTGTGTTATAACAATAAAGGGTAGTGTGTTATAACAATAAATGGCAGTGTTATAACAATAAATGGTAGTGTTATAACAATAAAGGGTAGTGTTATAATAAAGGGTAGAGTGCTCTAACAATAAAGGGTAGTGTTATAACAATAAATGGTAGTGTTATAACAAGAAAGGGTACTGTTATAACAATAAAGGGTAGTGTTATAACAATAAAGGGTACTGTTATAACAATAAAGGGTAGTGTTAAAACAATAAAGGGTAGTGTGTTATAACAATAAAGGGTGGTGTTATAACAATAACGGGTAGTGTGTTATAACAATAAATGGTAGTGTTATAACAATAAAGGGTAGTGTTATAACAATAAATGGTAGTGTTATAACAATAAAGGGTACTGTTATAACAATAAAGGGTAGTGTTAAAACAATAAAGGGTAGTGTGTTATAACAATAAAGGGTAGTGTTATAACAATAAAGGGTAGTGTGTTATAACAATGAATGGTAGTGTGTTATAACAATAAATGGTAGTGTGTTATAACAATATAGGGTAGTGTGTTATAACAATAAAGGGTAGTGTGTTATAACAATAAAGGGTAGTGTGTTATAACAAGAAAGGGTAGTGTGTTATAACAATAAAGGGTAGTGTGTTATAACAATAAATGGTAGTGTGTTATAACAATAAAGGGTAGTGTGTTATAACAATAAAGGTAGTGTGTTATAACAATAAAAGGGTAGTGTGTTATAACAATAAAGGGTAGTGTGTTATAACAATAAAGGGTAGTGTGCTATAACAATAAAGGGTAGTGTGTTATAACAATAAAGGGTAGTGTGTTATAACAATAAATGGTAGTGTGTTATAACAATAATATAGGGTAGTGTGTTATAACAATAAAGGGTAGTGTGTTATAACAATAAAGGGTAGGGTGTTATAACAAGAAAGGGTAGTGTGTTATAACAATAAAGTGTGTAGTAGGTGTTATAACAATAAATGGTAGTGTGTTATAACAATAAAAGTGTGTAGGGTGTGTTATAACAATAAAGGGTAGTGTGTTATAACAATAAAGGGTAGTGTGTTATAACAATAAGGGGTAGTGTGTTATAACAATAAATGGTAGTGTGTTATAACAATAAAGGGTAGTGTGTTATAACAATACAGGGTAGTGTGTTATAACAATAAATGGTAGTGTGTTATAACAATAAATGGTAGTGTGTTATAACAATAAAGGGTAGTATGATTTAACAATAAATGGTAGTGTTATAACAATAGATGGTAGTGTGTTTTAACAATAAATGGTAGTGTGTTATAATAATAAAGGGTAGTGTTATAACAATAAAGGGTAGTGTGTTTTAACAATAAATGGTAGTGTGTTATAATAATAAAGGGTAGTGTTATAATAATAAAGGGTAGTGTTATAACAATAAAGGGTAGTGTTATAACAATAAAGGGTAGTGTGTTTTAACAATAAATGGTAGTGTGTTATAATAATAAAGGGTAGTGTTATAACAATAAAGGGTAGTGTTAAAACAATAAAGGGTAGGTTGTTATAACAATAAATGGTAGTGTGTTATAAAAATAAAGGGTAGTGTTATAACAATAAAGGGTAGTGTTAAAACAATAAAGGGTAGTGTGTTTTAACAATAAATGGTAGTGTGTTATAATAATAAAGGGTAGTGTTATAACAATAAAGGGTAGTGTTAAAACAATGAAGGGTAGTGTGTTATAACAATAAATGGTAGTGTGTTATAACAATAAAGGGTAGTGTGTTATAACAATAAAGGGTAGGGTGTTATAACAATAAAGGGTAGTGTGTTATAACAATAAAGGGTAGTGTGTTATAACTATAAAGGGTAGTGTGTTATAACAATAAAGGGTAGTGTGTTATAACAATAAAGGGTAGTGTTATAACAATAAAGGGTAGGGTGATATAACAATAAAGGGTAGTGTGTTATAACTATAAAGGGTAGTGTGTTATAACTATAAAGGGTAGTGTGTTATAACAATAAAGGGTAGTGTGTTATAACAATAAAGGGTAGGGTGTTATAACAATAAAGGGTAGTGTGTTATAACAATAAAGGGTAGTGTGTTATAACTATAAAGGGTAGTGTGTTATAACAATAAATGGTAGTGTATTATAACAATACAGGGTAGTGTGTTATAACAATAAAGGGTAGTGTCTTATAACTATAAAGGGTAGTGTGTTATAACAATAAAGGGTAGTGTGTTATAACAATAAAGGGTAGTGTGTTATAACAATAAAGGGTAGTGTGTTATAACAATAAAGGGTAGTGTGTTATAACAATAAAGGGTAGTGTGTTATAACAATAAAGGGTAGTATGTTATAACTATAAAGGGTAGTGTGTTATAACAATAAAGGGTAGTGTGTTATAACAATAAAGGGTAGTGTGTTATAACAATAAATGGTAGTGTGTTATAACAATAAAAAGGTAGTGTGTAGGTGTTATAACAATAGTGTGTTATAACAATGTAGTGTTATAACAATAAAGGGTAGTGTGTTATAACAATAAAGGATAGTGTGTTATAACAATAAAGGGTAGTGTGTTATAACTATAAAACAATAAAGGGTAGTGTGTTATAACAATAAAGGGTAGTGTGTTATAACAATATAACTATAAAGGGTAGTGTGTTATAACAATAAAGGGTAGTGTGTTATAACAATAAAGGTAGTGTGTTATAACTATAAAGGGTAGTGTGTTATAACAATAAAGGGTAGTGTGTTATAACAATAAAGGGTAGGGTGTTATAACAATAAAGGGTAGTGTGTTATAACTATAAAGGGTAGTGTGTTGTAACATTAAAGGGTAGGGTGTTATAACAATAAAGGGTAGTGTATTATAACAATACAGGGTAGTGTGTTATAACAATAAAGGGTTGTGTTTTAACAATAAAGGGTAGTGTTGTAACAATAAAGGATAATGTTATAACAATAAAGGGTAGGGTGTTGTAACAATACAGGGTAGTGTTATAACAATAAAGGGTAGGGTGTTATAACTAAAGGGTAGAGTGGTATAACTAAAGGGTAGAGTGGTATAACAATAAAGGGTAGGGTGTTATAACAATAAAGGGTAGGGTGTTATAACAATAAAGGGTAGGGTGGTATAACTAAAGGGCAGAGTGGTATAACAATAAAGGGTAGGGTGTTATAACTAAAGGGTAGAGTGGTATAACTAAAGGGTAGGGTGTTATAACAAAAAAGGGTAGAGTGGTATAACTAAAGGGTAGAGTGGTATAACTAAAGGGTAGGGTGTTAACTAAAGGGTAGAGTGGTATAACTAAAGAGTAGAGTGGTATAACAATAAAGGGTAGAGTGGTATAAATAAAGGGTAGGGTGTTATAACTAAAGGGTAGAGTGGTATAACTAAAGGGTAGGGTGTTATAACAATAAAGGGTAGAGTGGTATAACTAAAGGGTAGAGTGGTATAACAATAAAGGGTAGAGTGGTATAACAATAAAGGGTAGAGTGGTATAACTAAAGGGTAGAGTGTTATAACAATAAATGGTGGAGTGGCATAACAATAATTGGTATCCTACAGTTTGCCACCCCTCCTCCCCCATTGTTTCCCCAAATTTGTATATGCCACTGGCTGGCGGACTGTGTGTCACCCTGCATGATGAAATACTGTATATCCTTATAATTATTCTCCATGATATTTTGTTTGTATTTTCTTCAGATTTATGGGATCCATTTACTTCCTGAAAGAGAAAGGTGACAATTTTCTAGTACACCAGAATCAGGCAACTTTTCGCAACTGTTTTGAAGTGTGGGGCCATAAGTTTGAGGACTACATGTGTGGAGGTAAAGTTACCACAAAGCTTTTATTATACTGTATACTAATGACATAGAATTTGTCAGTTTTATCACCTAAATAACATTAATGTAAATTTGCCTATAAATGACAGTTATAATTTTCTAGTAATTATTAAAGGCATGTAGTTAGTAAATGTTATATTCTGATTGAATGAATAAAGTAAATGTCATACATACCTATATCTGGCAGATTTAACATACCTTGTATATCTTTTCTGTTATCTGACAGACTGTACATATTTCATCACTATCTGACACCTAATATATAAATTAACTACAGTCAACCCTCACTTTACGCGGTCCCATATTCCGCGTTTCCACGTTTACGTGGTACCCTGCCAGAACCCGGGATGCTCACATTCCGCGGTGCGTGTACCCCTTTACGCGGAGAGTGTCCGGCTCGACGCTATTTTTAGATTCGCCCCTCCTGCCTGCTCCCGCCTCTGCAAGCCGCGCGGTAAGGTGGGCAGTGCATGCCTCTGTTGCGTTATCAGTGACGTCATATGACGTATCGGACTGTGATTGGCCATGCATCCCTACCTCCCTCCGCTGCTAGCTGTAATTGGTTTAAAGTAATATGACGTGTCCACCCGGGGGAGGGAGGGATTAAAGACGACGCTTGACCTAGCCGCGGCAGTTTCATCCCTCCAGGCCACACCGTGTAATCGTGCATCCATTGTTCTGTAAAATGGCTTCCACCGGACCACCGCCCCCAGAGAGAAACCTTTCCCTGCCTGGACCCAGCCGCCCTAAGCCAAAGAAGACACGACGTTCCTTAAGCTACGAGGTGAAGTACAAGATCATCCAAGAGTTGGAGAAAGGAACAAGACAGGTTGATTTGGCGCGCCAGCATGGTGTGAACGAACCTACTTTCCGGACGATAAAGAAGGATGCAGCCAAGATAAAGGAGCACATGATGATCACAAAGTCTACAGGTGCTTCTGTGATCAAGTATTTCCACAACCAGGTGCTTCTCAAGACGGAAAAATTTCTTGTGAGCTACTTGGTGCGTCAGGCGCGACGGAACATGGCGGTGGACACGCGCTCTGTTAAGGAGTACGCACATGAACTGTATGCTGCAGTGTCACGAAAGATGGGAATTACAGAGCCCAAACCATTTAATGCTTCCTCTGGGTGGTTACAGAGGTTTAAGATGAGGAACAAGATCACCAATATCAACATTGGTGGTGAAGAAGCTAGTGCTGACCGTGTTGCGGCTAGGGAATTTCCTCCGTTTTTACGTGAGATTATGGAGGAAGGACAGTACACCAACTACCAGGTGTTTAACATGGACGAATCTGGTCTTTTTTGGAAAAAGCTACCTTCCAAGACCTTCGTTGTGAAGAATGCCAGCAAGATTCGGGGCCGGAAGTTGCAGAAGGAGCGCATCACCGTCCTGTTTACCACCAATGCCTCCGGTACCTGTAAGCTCAAGTTATCGGTGATCCACACAGCCCGCAAGCCGCACGCCTACAAGAGCATGGACATAACCAAGCTAAATGTCCACTGGCAGACCGCACGTAAGACGTGGATGTTCTCTACACTGTCCCTCTCCTGGTTTGATGACTGTTTCGTTCCCGATGTAAAGAAATTCTGTGAGCAACAGAATGTGCCATTCAAGATTTTGTTGCTGCTGGACAACGCACCAGGACACTCGCCCCTACTGTTAGATTGTCACCCCAACATAAAAGTGGTCTTCCTTCCTCCCAACACTACGTCTATATTACAGCCCATGGACCAAGAGTTAATCTGTAATGTAAAAGCTGCATTCTCAACTAAAAAATTCAAGCTCCTGAACGACTACACCAACACCAGGGAAGAGTTGCGTAACCTGAGTGAATACCACCACCGATAGCAAGAGCGAAGACGACGAGGATCAACAGTTGGCAGAGCAAAAAATACTTTTCAAACAATTCTGGAGAATATTCAACATCAAGAAGGCTGTGGACTTCGTGGTGGAGGCATGGGATCAGCTGTCTGTAGCAACTGTTCGTCACGCATGGAGACGTGTTGCAAGGCATTCCGGCTGTTAGGCAGAGTCAATCTGTGACTGGTGAGGTTCAGACTGTTGCAGTACACTGGACCTTGCCAGAGAAGCTGCGCAGTGTGTTGCAGCTGCAGGCTTCTCCGAGACCACCAACGACGACATCCTGGAGGTGATAAGGGATCCTGATGTGACTACCGACGAGATGGTAGATGATGATGACGTCAGTGAAGAGGCAGGTGGTGCGTCATCCCAAGAAGAACACCGCTTATCCCATAGTAATGTTAGGGGTGCCATCGAGTGTATCGAGAAAGTCAAGCTCCTCCTTGCCGACGACCCTGACGCAAACAGGTATGAAATCTTCACTACCCAGCTGTTGCAGCCTATGGAGCCCTACTTCAAGGTGTATCACGTCAACATAAACACCAGCCGTCAGCAAAGCATAACAGAGTTCTTCGGCCGCAACCCACCACAGCCAGCCCAAGCCAGTGATAGTGACAGAGGTAGAGACAGTGAAGATGACTTTGAGGGATTTGTCAGGGAGGCCCTGACAAGTGTGGGTGACAGTGATGGTGACTCACCTGAGGGCCAGTAGCCTGCCCTCTGCCTCGGAACCAGCCTCCATCCCCATATGCCGACCCATCTCTTCTACTAACGTAAGTGTTAAACCTAACTTTTAGTTTTCCTAACCTAACCTTTATTTTTCCTAACTTAACCTTTACTTTTCCTAACCTAACCTCTTCTATATTAATTGTGTGTGCATACCATCATAAAGTTAAGATAAAATTTTTACTACAACATAAATGTGTGTCGTCAAAAATTGGAGTTTGGCGGTCGGCCCGGTCTCTATTTCAATTAATCCCATATGTTATATTGTTCACTTTATGCGTTTCTCACTTTCCGCGGTACCCTGTGGGTTGTATTAACCACGTAAAGTGAGGGTTGACTGTATAATGTATTCTGCTAGAAATATTCACTATAGTCTGCCAGACAAGACTACTATAAGCAAGTAAATAACCTGCTCTCATAATGGGACTGATAACACTTCCTTCCAGTCTGGGAAGATGAGGCTGATAACACTTCCTTTCAGTCTGGGAAGATGAGGCTGATAACACTTCCTTCCCAGTCTGGGAGGATGGGGCTGATAATACTTTCTTCCCAGTCTGGGAAGATGGGGCTGATAACACTTCCTTCCAGTCTGGGAGGATGGGGGTGTACTGCCCGATTCTGGGGTCACTAACTCTAAGGAGATAACGTAACTCTACATTTAATTTTAATGTCGCTACCACCAGACCCTCTGGACAGTATGTAGCTCGTTAGGTATCGGGCAGTGTAAGCCAGGCATTGGATTGGGTTTTTCATTGACCAGATCGAGAGTGGGAAGAAGGGTGAAACATCAATCATGACTTCACTAATTTATTCCTTATAAAAACATATTGCATCCCATCACAATACAAAAAGAGTTGGCCTTAGAAGAACCACTATTTATGTTCATTACATTTCACATCAATATACGTCTTTCATCAAATAATTACTATTATCATCTTCATTCTTCATGACAACCAATGACATCCTTAGCTCGGTCATTCCTTCTTACCATAACATCCAACACATCAGACTGCACCACATGTTAGAGTGTAGCACCACATGTTATATTATAGCACCACATCTCTGGTACACTCCACACCTATAAGTATGGAACTCCTCGGTATTCTTAGGTACACATACCAGGTACCTCATTCACACTCTACTCTTGCTGAGTAGATGGGATACTTCCCAGGTAATTATACCAGTACTGGTTCCACGCCTGGTGTTCTTAAGTCGCTCCACATGGCGACCGCCAAACTTCTCAAGCACACAATTATGTTCTCCTATCCTAGGGTGGTGATATGTAGGGTATCCACAGATTCACAGTGGAGGTGCATAATGGTCATAAGCAGAACACACCACACCCGGTGACTCCCTCACAGTGGTGGTTGGTGGTGGCTTGGCCGAAACTCTGGACGTGTGCGTACCAGTTTTGGTGAGACTAGGCGTCACTGAGAGTAAGGCCTGATGGGCTTTTATCACCACGCATTATTGCAACTATTACTTCACTTTATAACATCAGGGAAGGTTTTAAGATGTAAAAACTGCTAGATAAGTCTTTTTAGGGCTGGATGGAGCTCACTGACCTGTTTTGGTGAGAGACGTGGCATCACTGAGGGCAGTACCTCTCGTCTCTCACTGAACTAGGCCTGTAGTTTCCAAACTTTAATTTTCACTTTGATAGTATTCTGGTTTTCACATATACACTTTCCTATCTATTGTGACCTTATGCGTTATAATTATATATCTTAATCCTAAATTACATACTAAAGTAAGGGTCTGGTTTGCTAGTTCCTGGGGAAATTCATTGGGTTATAATATCAACGCGGCACCTAGCCCGGGGCGGCCTAGGCGCCAACCCAACAAAGCCTACCGTCGTATTTTCATGGCGTGGGTACACAAGATATTCTCTTTGAAGCATAGTTTCTTGATCACTTCCAACACTTCACATAGGTCTGATACATTTATTCTTTTTCCAGATCATTGTTCGTTTATATTTTCATCTGATATCTGCGGTAGCTATGTTTACTAATCGTTCACAGACGTAAATAGTATGACCTTCAAACACAATCTACACTTATCTCTTATAGTACACTAGTCTGTATGAATTGGACCTTCCCAATCATCCTATAGATATCTTGAATTCTCGTTAATGCTGTAAGTACATCCACTTAATATTATATGACCGTACCTGGGTACAATCCATCTAAAACATCATACAGTAGGTGGGTTATCTTTTACCAAAGTCTCCCATTTTCTACCGTTTTCTGTGACTCGACAAGCGTGGTGGATTTGAATGTTATGTAGCGTAATATGAATTAAAGAGCTATTAAGGATGACAATGATGTGTGCAGTACAGGGATGATAGTGCTTTTTAGACCGGAGGATGGTGCTGATAACACTTCCTTCTGAGTCT